GGCGTCGGAGGCGAAGAGGTGAGGCATCTCAATGGTATGGTCAATCCGGCGGGCGCAACGACAGTCTGGGGTTGGCAGAGGATCAGGTATCTGGCCGTGAAGACTTGGATTGATTATTGGGCGACCCGCCACACCGAAAAGATGATCGTCCTTCATGCTAGTGGCGAGGTCTTGTATGCTGGCTGCGATGAGAACACGATACAGTACAAGTACGACCAGATTATTGCCGCCAGCGGTGGTACTCAGAAGATTGTCTTGGCTGCTGAGGTGAGCCCTTGGCCGATGGCCCTTGGGTGGCGCTACGACCAGACCTCTGGTATCGCGACAACCAGGACAGATTTCCTGACGGCCGTAGGCGTCTCGGATTCCTTTGCCTCCACTTATGCCGACTGCACCAACACAACAGTCGGATATTGCACTACTCCGCCAAAGTATCAATTCGCGAATTCGGGCTTCATCATGGGCCCTATCGGAGATGTTGCTGATATGCTTGCCGACATGTACTACTGGTCCGATTCAGAGAATCGTCTCGTCAACGAGTACTTCCTTCACAACCCGGACATGGTTGCTCTCGACTACGCTGGCATCCTTGTACTGTCCTTGCACAACATGAAACTGGACTCGGGCATCCCTGTCACTGTGGAGAGCGCTTCGGGCACGAAGTCCTTCAAGAACCTGATTACCAACAGCAAGGTGTGCTTCGTGCACGGCGGCGGAAATTCGTTTGACGCCCTCAAGGTTCTCGCGCAGGAGCTGTTGGCAGACTCGTGAGGGCGCGGAGGCAAGGCGCATCAGCTCATTGTGCGATGCCCTCTTTATCTTACTCCTCTTGCGCTGGTAAAAAAATGCGATGTCCTCCTTTTCCTGCTCCTCCTCTGTCCCGATTCTCTCTCCTCTGCCGTCTCCCCTCGTTCCTCTGCCCTTTACCAGCCTCACCTCTATCCTCTCGCATATGCTGTTATATCCCCTCTCTTCTCATTGCCCTTCTCCACTGACGGACGGCGGAGTCTGGACAGGAGGGGCGTCCGAAGTGCAGGGGCCGAGCTTACTATACGACGGCCAGTCTCCGCGCTGGAGGGCCGAAGCGGCTATCTTTTGCTCGATGTGTTGGTTTGACACCGCTCTTGGAGGGGTGTGGGCCAGCACCTGGCTGCGTCAGCTGGCCAAGCGCTTCATGGTGGCATTCTCCAAAGAGGGCTTGCACGAAGGCTTTCTTAGTTTACCACTGTGAGTGAATCCTGACGCTTCGCGTATCCCCACAAGCTTGCCCCCGGACCGCGAGAGTCGGATACGATGTGCACGCACTGGCTACAGGCTGCAAGTGGCTCTACTTCGTGTGCGCAGATTGTGGTAGCTTCCTCCTCATGCGCAGGGACGGGCTACTGCCACACCTCTGCGTCAGTGAGCCATGGTGAGTCAGGCCTTATCCCTGTTGCCGCTCAGTCTTTTTCTTGGTGCTGCCGTGTGCCCTGGCTGGGGTCCGCACTTGGACCTTTCCCTCCCCCATCTGCCTCCTGGCCTCGCATCACGTGCTATTCGGCCGGAGACTGGCGCCGCCAGAGCGATTTCTCCCCGCCGTTCTTGTGCCGTCCCTGTGCCGGTCGCCGCGCTCGTCCCCACCTGTCTGGATGCTCGGCTCGATCACCTGGTCGCGCTGTTCGCGTCCTCGCTTGTGGCCGTCTGGAGCTTGGCGCCTAAAGGGCGACTAATGAGGGTCATTTTGTGCATGTGCACTCGCCACTGCGGCCAACTATCTTCGTTCAGCGCCCCGATCGTTGCGCGCTTCTTGACATTAATCTTGGAGCCGCCGACCAAAAAAATATCCCCACAATCGTCCTCAGTTTCAGCTGCCCCCTCCACTCGCCGGTCCGCCGCTGAGGTGCTGCGTGAGGCCCCGCTTAGTCGCTTTAGGTGAGGCCGCCCTCGGTTGCTTTAGGTGAATTTGTCGCTGCGTGCCCCGCTTTGACTGGACTCGCCGCTGGCGCGCTCGCCCGCGGCCGCTGACTAAAAAATATCCCCACCAGCCCATCCCGAGACGATGCCCTGGCGAGCTGTCGTGACCAGGGAACCGCAAGAGGCAGTGTAACAAACAGGGGGGGGGGACGGGCGGGTTGGGGATCCGTCAGACCCAGGAGTTCGGGATCAGCCTGAGCAGGCCCGGGGACCATCCATAAGTGCCTTCTCGGATTTTTCGATGTGGCAGCCTCTTGCCAGCTTGCTTGGGCTCTCTTGAGGCCATGCTGGAATCCGTGAGGACGTTCTTGGACCCTCTTGGAGGCCTCTTGGCGTCCTGTTGGGGCCCTCTTGTGGCCATCTTGGAAGCCTTTTGGAGGTTTGTGGGGCCCTCTTGACGGCGCTATTGGGCGATTTTGGGGCCGTTTTGTACCCCTCTTGTGACCCTTTTTATGGTCCCCTTGGAGCCATTTTGAGGCCTTAGCTCAGGGGAAGCGCAAAGGCGATAATGCAGCCCTCATGTGTTTCCTAAGGTTTTGAATGGATTTGGGCCTCTTGGGGGCGGCTTTGGAAGCTCCGACTGCCCTTGGAGCCGCTCGGAAGGATGCAGCCGGGAGGATGTTGTAAGCCACCTTGTGCCGTTTTGGAGGCTATCTTGCGCTATTTTGACGTCACCATGGGGCCATATTGAACAGCCCCTCCCCCCAAGGATGACCACCCGCAACAAATCACAAGATTTGGGATACCAAGGGTTTTGCAATGCTTGCTCCTTCGAGCGAAGGGGGGGCCCGAACAGCGTCGCCCATCTGGAGCTCCGCAAGTCGCCTCGCGGGGCCGCCTTGGGGCGCTGGTGGGCGCTGTTGGGGCCGTCTTGCGGCCATCGTGGGTCCCTCTTGGGGATGTCTTGGGCCATGTTTAGTAACTCATGTGTTTAACTTGTGTTTTCATAAAGCCATCGGGGTCCTAGCTCAATCCGTGGAAAACTGGTCCAGTGTGCCCCCTCGCCCCCCCCGCCCCCTCATGTCGCCCCGAACTATGGCAGTGCTTTCATCTGCTATTGCAATGGCTCCCCTTGCTTTTGCGATGGCTTCCTTTTCTATTGCAATGGCTTCCTGGGGCTAACCCAATGGCGTCCCAACAATCGTCCAACCACCGTCAGCCTCAGACGTAGAATAGAGTAGAGTATATTATGCCACAGTATTGTAGCGGACATATAGAGTCGATCATATCAGCGTATACTATAGTAGCGTAGAACAGAGCAGAGTAGAGTAGAGGAGCGCAGAGTAGGAGTATGATCCGACTAGATGAGGCGTAGCGTTGGAGTCGAGTCGAGTAGAGTAGTAGTAAGTAGGTTCTGGTAGGGCAGAGTCGGATAAGGCACATTACAGTGGGGTAGAGTAGAGTCGAGTATAGTACAGGGAGCGGCTTGAATAGGGAACACGTTTCAAAAGTGGCTCGGTCGTTCCTTAGGTTTGCATGCGTTCCGCGACCTTTCTGGCGGCGAGCCCCGTGGTATTCCTTCAGATTTTGGACGCGCGGGTCGGCCGTTCCTTCGGACGTCGTAGGTTTACTTGGAAAAGAGGGGGTGCGTTCCTTCTGTCTCCTTCATTCGTTCAGGCCGATGAGTGTAGAGTGCAGACGAGTAGATCAGAACAGAGCGGGTGGTTGAGTGGAGTCAAGATACTAGAGCAAAGCCATGGCGAGTAGAGCGGAATAGAGCAGAGTAGAGTAGAGGGAGTGAGATGAGATGGGATTCGTGCGGGTTCGTGTACGATTAGGAATAGAGTCGAGTAGAGCATGTTAGAGTAGAGTAGAGTAGGATAGGGTCGGATAGGGTCGGGTTGGTTCGAGTAGAGTAGGGCCGATGGTAAAGTATAGCTTGGTAGATTCTATAGGCTTACGCCACATCCGCTGACCCCTTAATTGGGTTCAGGGTTTTGATGGTGATTTTCGGTGTTTGGAGGTTTTTCGGTTCGGGGTTCTCCTCTGGGCCAGCTTGGAGGCTTCTTTGGCCGGTCATGGGGCCTCTTGGGCCGTCTTGGCGGGTTCTTTGGCCGTCGTGGGGGTCTCTTGGGCCGTCTTGGAGCCTTGTTGGGTGCTTTTTGGCCCGTCTTGGACGTAGTCGCAGGCCAACAAGCGAATGTGATAAACATTTAAGTTTACCCAAGGGAAGTGGATGATTCTCGAGTCTAACGCCACATCCGCCGACCCATTCAGTTTTTCTGGAGCGATGTCTTCTGGCGTCTGGAGTTGTTGTGGGCGTTTGTCAGTCTTTGGAGATGGACTCCACAATGGCGCTACACCACGCGAAGCTTCGGGAAGAACGAAGTGGAAGGAGAGCAAGAGGGAGGGCGACGATCATCAGAGGGAGCAATCGGAAAGGAGGATGATGATGAGAAGGAGGAGGAGGATGACGAAGATGACAGAGGGAAAGGAGCAAGAGGATGATGAGGATGAGGAGGAGAAGGCTTTGTGCGGATTGTCGCGCCGTGAAATATCCAATGGTCGGCCCACCCTTGCCCTGTGCCAAGATTTTGGATCAGGGTCTTCAGTGCAGTTTCTCAGGGCTATGCTCTGCGCCACTTCCCCAGGACCGTGTGGTCAGACTTGTTGGCGGGCTTCCTGGAAACAGCATGCACTCCCTTGGAGCCCGTTGCGGGGGTTTCCAGGATGCCTTTTAGAGCCCTTTGGGGGCTCAGGAAATGCGCCCCGCGCGCTGCGGCAAGGCGCGGCAGTGGGAAATCGACAGGAAAGGTAGCGCGAGTCGGAGGGCATGCGGGGCCGAACGTGGGCGACGTCGACGCTGGCCAGACGAGGAGGCCGCGCGCAAACCCGGGCAACGGCAGAACAAAGGATGCGGGAGAACACCCAGAGATGAGGCAGGGTGGCTCGGGCACTGACGCGGCGCCGCCAGGCGCAGCGTGTCCGAGGGATCAGTGGGGCTCGGCGCGCGGGCGACACGCGGGCAGGGTGAATGGCGGTTCGAACGGTCCAGGGGCGGGGGGATATATCGCTCGTGGCAGCATGGGGCGGGAGAGGTTGTAGTGATGGGGCAGAGTGCGGTGGCCAGTGCGCGCGCGACGGGGTCGTCGCTGCCGCCGCGGGCGACGGGCGCGCGGCCGCAGAAAGGGGCGCGCGCGAGGGGGCGGCCGGAGTGTGGGCGGCGAACAAGAGAGGGAGGAACAGAGAGAGGCCAGTGCTTGGACACGTGGAGCGGTGGTGGTGCGCGGCACAGAGGAGAGCGCTGGACGCAATGCAGCTCGCGACGAGGACCCAGCCAGCGCCGGGGCAGGCGGCGCGGAGGCGATGCGCGGCGCAGAGGCAATCGCAGGACGCATTGCAGGGGCCGACGAGGACGTCCCAGTCTCGGACGCCATGCAGAGAGCATTCTATCAGCTGAAAGAGGACGGGGCATCGATGGGGCCCGCGCAGAGTCCGCGAGCTTCTCGCGGCGGAGGCGGCCAAGCATGTGCGCCGTCACCCCGCCGCGCCAGCGGGCCCGGCAGATCCGGCGCATCCTTGGGCGGGTGCGCTAGCGGAAGACGTGGCCGTGGAGTTGCCGCCAGTGCATTGCGCATCTGCGGGGTGCGCGTGGGCGTCAGAAACCACGGGGGTACTGCGCGAGCGCGTGCGGGGGGGGGGCGCTTTGGCATAGTGCTGCCCCTAGCGCAACTGGCGCAGCCGTCGGACGAGAACGAGCGGCTCCGTGTCGAGGCGGCGCGTCGCGAGATCGTTGCGCATGCGGTTCGGGGCGCGGCGCAGCTGGCGGCGTATTCCTTGCGCTGGCGAAGCTTGAAGATGTGCGAAGCTGGAAAATATTGTCGCCCCTGCGCGTTTCTTGCGCGCGTGCACTTTGCCGCGGGCGAGAGACGGGTGCGGGGGCGAAACCACCTGGAAGCAGCCGTTCAAGTCAGCTCTGGCGAGTCACTTCGGCGACTGGACCGGGGCGGACGTGAAGTTGCGTTTCAGCGTCGCATCGCGCGTGCGAGACAATCGGATCGAACCGGGAAACGGCGCCCTGGACCTCGAAGGAGACGCAAGGGGAGGGGGGGACTTTGATGACTGGTTTGTGGCCGTGCCGACGGCCAGAGCGACGCAAATGCCAACATCCTTCAAACATTTAAGGAACCTGAATGGCTGTTGGCCTCTTCGGGCCTTCCTGGAGGCCCTCTTGGAGGCTTCTTTCCTGGCCGTTGGTGCCCAACCTTCGAGACCAAACAACCATACACACAACATCTAGGCCCTGCGCAAAACGCCCGACATGCATCGAGGACATCGCGTACCACCCCCAAAAAACGTCGAGGCTCCGCGCACTTCCCCAAGACAGCCATCGAGGTCGCGTTATGCACCACAAACACCATCCAGGCCCCGCGCGCTGCCCCCGAAATGCCCAGAGGTTGCTGCATGCACCCCCAAAACACCATCGACGCCCTGCGAGCTGCCCCCGAAATGCACCGAGGCTGTTGCAGGTATGGCCAAACACCATCGAGGCCCCGCGCAGTATCCTATGCATGTGTTGAGGTCGTTGTGTGGAACAGCAAACGCAATCGAGGGGCTACACTTCGTGCGCAGGATGGAGCGATGTAAACGTCTACATGATCAGCACGGTCATGCAGCGAGGGAGACCTCTATTGTTTTATTGCTTGTGCGAAGACCTACTTGCGGCGGGCCGCGAACATCCCAGTCGCAGGGTGTTACAGGTTCGTTTGCAGGGTCTTGCAGGGTCTTGCAGGGGCCGGTCTGCAGGGTGTTCGGTTTTGCATGGAATTGCAGGGGCTCTGCAAGGGGTTGCAGGGGGCTCGATTGCAGGGTCTTGCAGGGTCTCGCAGGGGCCTGGTGTGCAGGGTGTTCGGTGTTGCATGGAATGGCAGGGGCAATTGCAGGGTCTTGGCAGGGGGCTCTGCAAGGGGTTGCAGGGGGTGCGGCGAGGTCCTGGGGAGAGGGTACTCCAGATTTCGTAATAAAAGGGAGGGGGTCTCATTTCGGGGGGGGTCTCTTCCAGGCTATCTTGGAGGGCCTGGGGGGGTCTGGGGACGATGTTTTGGAGGGTTCTCCCACGGGGGAGGTCTGAAGTGGCTTGTCTTGAGGGTCCAGACCCCCTCCCTTTTATTACGAAATCTGGAGTAGGAAGAGGGGGCATTTTCGGAAGAAAGAAAGTGGAACCCGCTAGATCTTTTGAGCTCAGAGGGCGGGTGGGATTCCAACGTGCTCGTCTTGATCATGGTTGTCATTCTCACCACCCCTCGTCTTCGCCATCGCCATGCTTACCCTGAGTCATGTCCCTCATCTTTGCTTTTACGTGTCCAATTTGCATCCTCGATATCGGGGCGCACTATCATCATGCATGCCACGCCCATGCTCAGTCTTCTCACGCCCATATCCCTCCTGACCCCGGCATCCCTCTTCCCATCCTGATCCTTTGTACTGGTCCACGTGTTCGACGCAGCAACAATAGGGTCTTCTGCGCTGACATTGGCGCGTAAGCTGCTCGCAGACGGTCGCGCGTAAACGCCCTCGTCTTCAATGTAGCGTTCCGCGCTGGCGGCCCGTGTAAGCCACCTCGTAAGGTCGCTAGGCCATCTCGCGTAAGACCCCTATCTGACCGTCGCCCATGTGGGCTCAAGCGGTTGTGGCTCAGGCCGCGCACCATTCATCGTGCCCCGTGCCCTGGGCGCGGGCGCTTTTCGGAGTCATGCAGATCTTCGTGAAGACGCTCACAGGCAAGACCATCACTCTGGACGTGGAAGCATCCGACACGATCGACAACGTGAAGGCCAAGATCCAAGACAAGGAGGGTATCCCGCCAGACCAGCAGAGGCTGATCTTTGCTGGCAAGCAGCTGGAGGATGGCCGCACCCTGAGCGACTACAACATCCAGAAGGAGTCCACCCTGCACCTCGTGCTCCGGCTGCGCGGGGGCGTCATCGAGCCCTCTCTGGCAGTGCTCGCGCGCAAGTACAACTGTGACAAGATGATCTGCCGCAAGTGCTATGCGCGGCTGCCGGCGCGCGCGGTGAATTGCCGCAAGAAGAAGTGCGGCCACACCAACTACCTCCGCCCCAAGAAGAAGCTCAAGTGAGCAGGCTGCTTTGGCGCGCGCGGGCGCGTGGGTCCGGTGGCGCGAGTCACCGAGGGGGTTCGTTCCCGCCCCCGCCATAATTCTTTTCTCATCGGCGATCCAAATCCGTATCTCAGGCCTCCTTCCACGTTCCCAGTGCCCACGTTCATCCTCGGCCACGCCTCCACCATCACTTCCTCACCTTCCCCTTCCACACCACGTCCGTCTTCATGGTCGTCCTCGCCCTCATGATCCTCACCCTCGCCCCCTCGTCGTGCTCAACTGTTTCTCCATCATGCCCTACTCATTTGTGGGACGGAAGGGTAGGTTATGATGGAGTTGATCATCCGTCCGTTGCCCGTGCGCTGCCCGTCTGCTGCCCGCCTCTGCGTGCATCTCTGGGCCAGAGCCCCGCTGGCAGCGCTGTCGCGCAGCCTCGGGCTGCGTCAGCGCCAGGCAGGGGGGGGAATCTCTGCGCAGGCTCGCGCGCCCCTGCCAAGGTGCTCTTGCGCGCCCTGCTCCAAGGGCCCTCCTCCAGAAGGATCCGAGTCAAAGATCGAATCCGTCTCTACGCATCCGATTTCTCATGGGGGGGGGGTCACAACGCCACTTCATCCTCATCTTGGCACTGATCAGAGAGCGCTCCAGGAGAGGTTCATGGGAGAGGGGCTTGAGGGAGGAGGATAGGCACAGATCCAGCGGCGGCGCGTACACCAGACAGTTTTTCTTAATTCTCGGCGCTGCGGGGGCGGGAAGGAATCGCGACTGTGGGCCACGGGGCCATCTAGGGCGAACCGGGCCCGTTGGGATTGGATCGAGGTCCCTAAGGGCCCGCGGCGTGAACGAAGCGCGACGCTCCAGTTGTCGGCTGGAGTCCTCTCCATGCCCTCTTCACGGGAAATTCTGGACGCTTCGCGGAACCCCACCAGCCCATCCAGAAACGATGCCCAGGTGAGTTGCCCTGATCAGAGATGTGGAGGAGCATGCAGTAGAATAAAGGGTTGGGGAAGCCGCCGTACACCGAGAGGGGGAGATTAGAAGAGGAATCGGAGGAGGAGGAGGAGGAGGAGGGGGAGGGAGAGGGGGAGGGTGAAGACGGAGGAGAGAGGAGGAGGAATAGGCGGATGAGGAGGAGGAAGCGGAGGAGGTGGAGGAGGAGGGGGAGCGCGAGCACAAAGGCTGGAGGCCTCTTGGATGTCTCGGAGTCTCTTCGGGTGTCTCTTGGCAGCTTATTGTAGGCCTCTTGGGGCGTCTTGGGGGCCTCGTGGCGGTCCTGGGGGCCTCTTGAAGCGTCGTGGGTGCCTCGGGGGGAGCCTCTGGGGGCCTCTTAGAGGGTCTCTTGCTAGCCTCTTGGGGACCTCTTGGAGGTCTCTTGGGGTCGCCTGCGCGCTTCTTGGGGCCCTCTTGGGCCACTCTTGGGAGTCTCGGGGGCTATCCTGGGGCCGTCTTGGAGGAGATCGATCAAACAAGGGGGATATCAATCAGATCCCGACTTCCCAGCGCTGGCGCGCGGGCGCTTCACTGCGAGTCGGTGACTCGAGCGGGCGCAGTATCATGGTGACGTCGGCAACGGCAGAGACGATGATTACGATAGCGATGATGGTGACGATGATGACAATGCGACGACGGTAAGGCCAATGACGGCGCCGATGCTGGACATGCCGATGACGATGATGGTGTCCACGTGTCGGAGGTGAAGGTTTTGGAAGGATTTCGACATGTGCGCGTGGCCCACGCGCGAGAGATGCCCGTATGGTGTTATTTGAAAAGGATCGTGCACACCCAACAAGCACGTAAGAGCGTCCGAATGCTTTCGACATGCGTGCGCGAGAGGCCCGCTCGGTGGAATGTGATGGACATGTTCGAACACTGTTTTTCTGGTTGTCACATGAACTTGCAAGATCGCGCGCATATTTTTTGTTTGAGAAAGCCGATGGCAAAGCCATATATATATATATATGTATATATACATATATATATATATGTGTGTGTGTGCGTGTGTGTGTGTGTGTGTGTGTGTGTTCGGGGACCTCAATATTTGAAACCAGTATGAAGCATTTTTTTGAAGGACTCAGGCATGCGCGCGCGACGACGCACGTGTCTTGAGTTTGTCACAGTTTTTGCAGCAGATGCTTGGACAGCTGCTGTTTCCTCGGTAAACGAGTGTGCGCGCGTAGTATAACTTGACAGGGCAGGGACGAGGGGGTCTGACGGCATTCCCTGTGTCAATTGGGGCAGAACCATCCCATGGGGACGCGGTGAAGATGGTGGTGGGGGGGAGCCGATTTTTTTGGGGGGGAAAGTGGGTTTCTGTGGTGCGGCAACGGGGCTGCAACGGCGACCACATAGCCGCCAGACCGACGTACAGGCCCAGACCACGGGCGGCGACGAGGCAACGACTGGGCAGCAAGGGCGACGACATAGCCGCCAGACCGACGCGCAGGCCAAGTTCCGTTAGACAAAGAAGCAGGAGCCCTTGAGTGCAAGCGCTGTTTGGGGCACGCTCCTTGGTACTCCATCTGCTCGATTCTCTGTAACTGTTGCAAATGTTCACGGCGAGTGCGCGTGGCGCGAAGGCGATAACTTCATTTTGAAAGGGAGCCGCCCTATACCTTTGACAGAGTTTGAAATTGTGAGAGGAATGTGCGCGAACGTGTGCGGCGCTGACGGGAGAGACACACTTTGATAACGGACCGCCTTCCATTCCTGGAGCCTTTGCAGACTTGTTAGATTTATGAGCTTACTACTAGATGCTGCTGCATTGGTGGTCCGTTTGGAGTTCTTGTGTACGGCCTGGGCCAGAGCGTTGTCAACCGCGTGGCAAAAAACAGATCGCGTATCTGATCACTTCCGGAGGATCACCCGCGTGAGGAGACATCCACAACGAAATGAGGCGGTCCTGGCCGTTTCGCCTGAGACATCCTCTCCGTTGTCGTTTCCGAGTTGCCCGGGAGTGGGATTGGGCGTTTGGCTCTGAGCTTCGAGTCGCCGCGCGAGAGGTGGTCGGGCTCCCCACAGCAGGGGACGACGACGATGGCGGCGACACATCAGGACCAGAGCCCTAAACCCCATCTTTCTGCGGCAATTGTTCGAGACGGATCGATCCGTGATAGCCCCCGCGCGGTGTGCGAAATTGGATCGTCCAGATGTCAGGGGACGGCGACGATTTCGGTAGCAAATTTTGGGATCCTCGTGTGCCCTCTTAGTTCAACTTTAGCGTCGATTAGCGTGCATCTTGTAATCGATGAGATAGCGCAGCTTTAGCGTCGACCAGCGTCGAGTAGAGACGATGAGCGTCGATTTAGCGTCGACTAGCGTCGATTACCGTCGACCAGTGTCAATTCTCAAGGGCTAGAAAGATGGCATGGGAGGCTTCCATGAGTTGTCACCGAACATGGCGGCGACGGCGACGGACGGCGGCAGCGACGACGCTGGCGCAGCGGCGGCGGCGACGGCGGCGGCGGTCCACGGCGCCCCCGAGGCAGCTCCGCAGCTGCCTGGTGCGCGCTGGCCTCGGGGTCTGGTGCGCCGCCTGGCTGCGGGTCGTTCCACATGCCTGCGTCGTCGGCGCCGTCGTCGCCGCCGTCTTCGCCGCCGCCGCCGCCGACGCCGTCGTCGTCGTCGTCGTCGTCGTCGTCGTCGTCGTCGTCGTCGCCGCCGGCCTTGTGTCTCCTTCCCCCCTGCGGGCGGGAGGCCGTTCGTCCCCCCCCCCCTTCTCTCCTCCCCGCGGCGGCCCTCGGCGGCGAAATCCGAGCCCTGCCCTCGCCGATCAACGATTCGGGCAGCTCGATGGTCGGCGGGGGTAGGGTTCGGAGTGCGTCGAGCACGTGGCGAAACCCGAACCCTACCCCCGCCGCCCGTCGGCTCAAGGGACTGAGTGGTTGGTGGGAGTAGGGTTCGGATGTCGCCGCCTAGAGGTTCGGCAGTCGCAGATCTTCGACGATATTCATACTATTTTAATGTTAAGTAATCTTCTTCGTGCTCTTATGTTTGTTATGATTCGTATTGGCATTTCTATTATTATCATTCTTAGTAGTATAATGTTTTTGATCGCAAGTCGTAGTATTACTTTTATTGATGTTGTTATAAGTAGTAGTCGCATTATTATTTTAGTATTTCTATGTTATTGTGATTCGCACTGTTGATCTTAGCCTTATTTCAGAGCGTGAATTACCTACCCCGCTTTCGCTTCCAGGCAAAACCAAGTCATACCATACGCCTCCTCGTCAAGCGGCCTGACCAGTACATGCCGTAGTTTGGCCTCGCTTGGTATCTCTTGGAAGCGAGGGTGGTTAAAAGCGAGGTAGGTTCGTTTGCCCCCTATTATTAGTATTACTAGTCGTGTCACTAGCATTCGTCCTATTATCACATTCCTTAAACACACTATTGTTATTTTTGTTATGCATATTTTTGGTATTATATACACACCCGTCTTTTCAGTCGGGGCGTTCTTTGTACATTTCCGCCCGCGGGCGCTCATTTCGGGCCCCGCGTGGGACCATCGAAATCGGATCCGGGACGAACAAGCACCCCTGCGGAAGGGGTCGGGACCAGTTGGGGCTGCGGGTTGAAGACGTATCCGCGGATGGCAGGGGTTACAGGAGGACGAGGTGCGGTACTGTACCGCTGCCCGTTCCTCGTTTCCGCGGCTGGATTCGCTGCGAAACCCTGGCCAGACCACACGCCCGAGGAGAGGTCCAGGGAGTGGTGGCACATCGGGACAGATGGGGTGCCCGCCTTCCTCCTCTTCCAGGCTCCTGTCGCGCTCTGGGGGCCCTGTGCGCATGTATGCTCCGTGGAGTTCGCCTCATGTGCCGACCGCCAGACTAGTAGATCCCTCCCCCTTTTTCTTTACAAGGGTGGGACCATGGGGCGGGGACCCCCCCACTCCCCCCCTCCAATAACCGGACCCCCGGAGCCGTGGCCCCGGGGGCCCCCTGGACGCCCCTGCAGCAGGCTCCCCCCCGGGCTTCTGGAGCTCCTGGAAGCCTCCTGTGCTGGGCCGGGGCAAAGGCCTCTCTCGGTCAGGAGGGCGGCCGACCGGCCCCCCGAGGGCCCCCAAAGGCCCCAGACACCCAGCAGACGACCCAGCAAACGCCCAGCAGACGACCCGAAGACGACTCCCAAGAGGTTTTCGAAACGCAGAAGAACATTGATGTCCAATGGTTTTTGCATCATTTGAGGAGTGCTCTGTTCTTCGGTCTTCGGGGCGTCCGAGACCGCCCAAGAAGCCCGAAACTCGCCCCAAAACTATCTGCAAGGCTTTCCAGGCAGTCCAAGAGAACCCCAAGACGGCTCAAAAGGGTTACAGGATGGCCCGAAGAGAGAAGATGGCCTCAAGACGCCCCCGAAGCAGTCCAAATCGTGACTCGGTCGTTCAGGGAGACTGCGGTTGGAAGCAGGATGGCCGGAGGAAGCCCCCAGAAGGCGCCCAGGAGGCCTCCAGAAGACCCCAAGGCGCCCTGAACAACACCTTCGGTGAGCCCCCACAAGGGCTCTCCAAGGAGGGACCTTCGCAAAAAGAACTGAGGAATATGAGGAATAATTCGCAGGGTAAGGAGAACCCTTCGACATAGTGAGCAGCGTCACGGCGAACAACGGCCTGGACTGTTGGATAAAGTTGCGCAAGCGCTACGACCCAGCGACAGGAGGCCGCAAGCGGGCGCTGCTCAGGAGTGTGTTGAACCAGGCCAGGCTTCCGTTGACGAGCTCGGACCGGCGTGGACCGAATGGGGTTCGAAAGGAGCTGCCAGAGGTCATGCGCATGTCTGCCCTGGAGTCTCTCTTGCCGGACGACCTTGCCAAGCACATCCAGCTGAACCACTCGAGATTATCGGACCTCCCGTCCTTGAGGGTTGAAGTAGCGCAGTATATCGAGCAGCGCACCGACAACATAGTCAAGGATCCTTTGATCGCAGGCGGCTCAGGAGGAGCAGGTCAGCGTCGTCGCGGCGCGGACGACATGGATGTCGGCTCTCTTCGGCATCGTGGTCTGAAGGGCGACTTCAAGGGATCCAAGGGCAAAGGTTACGGCGGAAGCAAGGGCGGCAGAGGTGACTCGAAGGGCACAAGTGGCGACGCTGCACGCACCACGTGCTGGAATTGCGGCAAGAAGGGTCACAAGGCTGAGAACTGCTGGCAGAAGCTCAGGACGGGATCAAAGGGCGACTTCAAGAGTACCAAGGCCGATAAGAAAGGAGGCAAGAAAGGATGAACAAAGGACGTGAACCAGGTCGACCAGGACTGGGACGAGCACGACCATGACTTGCATTACGAAGAGCATGGGCAGCCGGAACCAGAAGAAACTGGAGGCCTGAAGCTATGTGCTTTCGCACCTCCGGTGTGCGCCATCGACTCGCAGGGCTGGGTGCCGGTCAACTTCGACTCAGGAGCTGCCGCAGCGGTTGCACCCAACGGCTGGTGCGATCCCGTGGGTAAGCCGAGTGGAAGGCAGTGCCGCGCTGCCAATGGCCAGATCCTGGACGACGAAGGCATGGGCGAGACTAGGGGCTACGACAAGAACAACCGGGGCGGCTCGACTCCAAGCCAGAAGGGTGGCAGTGACCAAGCCACTCGCGTCGGCCTCCAAGATGCTGAATGACAAGATCGGGCACTTGGACTGAGAAGGAGGATTGATCTATGAAGAAGACAATGTGCCAGGACGTCGGCTTCGACAGTTGCTTCAGCGCCTTCAGCATGACCAGCCAGATGACGGTATTGGTCTTTGGCAGGAGAAGGGCGTGTATAACAAGTGCCTCAAGGTAGGTCCCAAGACGGTGGCTACGATCAGAAGCTCGTCGAACCGATCGCTGGCGAAGCCTGTGCGCACCGTGGAGGGAGGGTTTGCCGCGCGTGCGGCGGAGCAGTCCGGAGGGCCAGTGCCGGGGGGCCGCCGGCAGGTCCACCCGCGAGCCCCGGCGTTCGCGGCGCCAGCTTCCCCAGCCGCCGGGGGGGTTCTGGCGGGGGCCGCAGGGTCGGCGAGACCAGAGGCGGCGCCGCCGCCACCGGCCCAGGAGGGCGCGAGACCGCCGAGGGTTCGATCGCCGAGGTCTCCGACGGCAACGACTCAGAAGGAGATGGGGGAGCGCGAGGCGTCTGGGCATGCAGCGCCCAGGTCATGGGCAACCGCGTCGTTTGGTTCCCCGAGGCGAGGAGACGGAGATCCCGGTCGCGTTCATGTACTTCGGCTACCTTTGACAGCGGTGAGGCGGGCGCGATTCAGGACGACCAGCAAGGGGGGATCACATTCTTGGTGATGCATTGTAGGAAGCTGCGGTGCCATGGGGCGATCGCTTTGCCCAGCGAGACTACCGACGACTTCGTGGTGAGAGCGTGCGGCGATTTTCTACGCTACTTGGGCCGCGAGAGATTGGTTCTCAGCTCCGATGGCGAGGAAGCGACGCTGTCCCTGAAGCAGGCCGTCGCAGGCAAGTGCGAAGGTAAATTTATTATTTTGGAGTCGCTTGTGGGTGATCACGCTGCACACGGTCAAATCGAGAGCGCAGTGCAGATTATCGAGTTTCAGGTCCGTGCCCTTTTGTGGGCATTGCAGTCGAGGTGGGGTAAGCGCCTTCCGTTTGCGCACCCACTCGCGCTTTGGGCCATCAGACGCGCGGCGTCAGCCTTCAATCGATTCCGAGTTGGAGCGGGCGGCCGAACTGGAGAGCAGTTTCGCACTGGACGTAAATGGGGGCGCGTGAGTGTAGCCTATGGCGAGCGCGTCAAGGGCAAGAAGCTCGCGGTTGACCATCGGACATACTAGTCGAAGTGGAACGGCATTGCTGAACGCGAAGGACGGTGTTCAGCGAGCTACTGGGCTAGTACGACGAGGCCCGGTAGAGAAATGGAGATGCGGGCCAGATGTGCTCGAGCTTCAGGGTGAGCCCTGGACTTGGCAACGTGGACGTGGAGAGCAAGCTATTGCTGCAGTGCCCCCGCCAGCCGAGGCTGTTCGACCTGCAGTCCTTCCAGCGGGTGTTCAGGCGCCTCCGGCGCCGCCGACGAAGGCAAGACCCTTGGCCGTGAGGGGCTCCTGCGTGACGCAGGACATCCTTGCGACGGCTGGCTATGCCGCAGGTTGCAGATGCTGCGAAGAGCTGCGAGTAAATGGACAGCGTGGGGCGGCGGGCCTCAGCCATGATGCGGGCAGTAGGGCGCGCGTGCTCGGTGACCTGGTGAACCGTGGCGACGAGAAGGCCGAGAGGGCCCGCCTGGCGGGCCAAGGCGCGGGGCCTGCGGCTGCCGCCGCGAGGCCATCTGGAGCTGAACAGGGTGATGCCCCTGCCGCGCCTCTCGCGCAGGCAGGAGGTTGAGGAGGAGGAGGCGCGGGTGCATCTCCCGCCAGGCAGCCCGGGTCTTCGGGCGCACCAGCTTGGGGCGCGGCGATGCAGATCGAGAGGTCTTTGACGGCGATGCGGGCTGCTGAAGATGCACCGCGACGCGCTGCTATGAGAGGTGCTGAGGGCGAGCCGGCTTCAACGGCGCCGGCTACCCTGGAGCGCCTGCAAGAGTTGGAGCTCGCGTTGCAAAGATCGGGGGTGGATTTGGCGAGCCCAGTGGAGCGGCTGCTTCCCGGCATGCCCCCGTGGGTGAGCGCTCGAGCTCTTCGGCGGGTCCCGCTGCTGGGCCTTCGAGTTCCGCTGGCGGGGGCGTGGAGTTGGGGGTTCTGGAGGACAAGGAGGAGATCCCGCCTGCGCTACAGTCGCTGGCCATCAGTGAGTGTTCAATCCGGGGCTCTTCTGCGAGTTGGCGCCTGCTTTTGGATAGGTACCTGGAGTTGTTGCAGATCTCGAGCTCTTGAATGAAGACGGCGAGCCATATAGCCTGAGCCTCGAGAGCAGCCAGTTGAAGTTTCAGCGCGATGTTGATTTCGAGGGCCTGCATCTACTTTGTTCTGCTCCTCCGTGTACGAAGTTTGTGATTTTGCAGGCCCTCGGTCGAGGCGGACGCGTAGACGGGGGAGGGGGGGGGGGGGGGGCATCGGCGCCAGGTAACAGGACGCAGAGTTATTGCACTTTGGAATTCAACAGCGTCGGAAAAGATATGATAGGAAATGTTGGTCCCTGCATGAACATCCCTGGGCTTCGAGATCCTGGAAAGATCCTGAAGTCGCTGCTTTGGTTCCCCCTCCAGGTGTCTGCGTTGTTCGGGGAGACGCGTTCCTGGGGCCTGGTGGCTAATTTCGACAAAGGGGATCTGGAGCCCTTGATGAAGGGCACGGGCTGGATGACTAACAATCGCAAGCTAGCTGAACTTCTAAGCCGCAGTTGCAACGGGAAGCACAAGCATGCGCAACTAACTCATGGGCACGAGAAAGGTCAGGGGAGCTAAGACTTACACGATGAAGCACAAGACCAGTATCCCCAGAGTGCTCGAGCAGGAGCTCGCTCGCATCGGGGAGTTGATTCGGGTGACCCAGGTGGGCCCCGTCCTGGATGAGGAGATTGATTTCTGGATGCCGAATGCGCCGCCGGACGGCGTGGTGGAGACCGTTTCTAGCGCGATGCCAACGGTGGCTGGGTAGATCCTAAGCTCGTGAAGGAGGCGAGACAGGTCGAGATGGACTGGGTGAGCCGGCAGTCCGTCTACGCGGTGTGCGATGAGTCCGGGTGCTACAAGGCGACGGGGAAGGTTCCGATCAACGCGGGCTGCGTCGACGCGAAGACAGGGGATTCTGAGCGGGCTCGGTGTCGTTGGAGGCTTGTAGCAAAAGACGTGAAGCGGGCCAAGCGGCCCAGTGAGTACCTAATCGCTAGTGAGTTGTTTAGCGGGGCACCCCCGCTCGAATCGGTTTCAGAAGTTTTCGAAGCGGGGTGAGCCGTTGAAGCTCGGTTTCTGGGGCGTCTCTCAGGCGCGTTTGCACGGGGGGGGCCAGGAGGGTGTCTTCGTGCGCCTGCCCCCCGAAGAGGGGAGGCGGGCTGGGAAATGTGCTAGGTCAAACACTTCTCTTTACTGTGCCCAGGATGCCTCTCACATTTGGCAGGGAGATCATGCCGCGCACCTAGCCGACGAGAGCTGGAGGCAGGGCGCGGACTCGGCCGCGCTCCTTCACGGAGACAGCGACGGCGGTCGGGGAGCGGTCCACGGTGATGATTTTATGGTTCCAGGAGATGAGAGCACTATAAGTGAAGTAGATCTTTGTCTCGGGCCCCAGCACGGCATGAAATGCGCGAGGAATGTGGGGCCGGATCCGGGCGATCAGAAGGATATCGTCTTCTTGAATCGCGTTTTCAGGTTTGTGCGGTGGAGATGGAACGGGGCCATCGCGGTGAACATTTTTTATTACGTGATCTGAAAGAGCGTGTTCTACCGCTGCTGGCGGAAAACCGGGGGGGGGGTCACTGCCGGTTCGAAGCCCTCCCCCCCCCCCTCCGGAAAACCGGGGGGGGGGTCGCTGCCGGTTCGAACCCTCCCCCCCCCAGCTCACCATGAAAATGGGGGGGGGGGGGGGGGGGGGCGCTGCCGGTGCAATGCCCCCGCCCCCCCCGCCTTCGAACTCGAAAACCGGGGGGGGTCACTACTGGTTCGAACCCCCCCCCTCCCCTCGAAAATCGAAGGGGGGGCGCGGACAGCGGTGGGGACGGTGGTGGTGGGGGGCAGCGGCGAGGGGACAGCGGGGCAGTGGTGGGGACAGTGGGACAGTGGTGGGGGCGGTAGTGGCGGGGACAATGGTGAGGACAATGGTGGGAACAGGGGGGGCAGTGGGACAGTGGTGGGGGCGGTGGTGGTGGGGACAGTGGTGCGGGGACAGTGGGGATGTGGTGGAAACAGTAGGACAGTGGAGGGTACAGTAGTGGTGGGGACAGTGGTGAAGGCGGTGGCGAGGACGGCGGTGGGACAATTGGACAGAGGTACAGCGGTGACAGTGGCGGGGACAGCGGGGACAGTGGTGGGAACAGTGGGCAATGGGACAGCGGAGGAGTCAGTGGGACAGTGGGGACAGTGGGGATAGTTGGGCAGTGGTTGGGGCCGTGGAGAAAGTTGGGGGAGTGGAGCCGCGGCGGGAACTGTGGTGGGGGCCGTGGGAACAGTGCGACAGTGGCGGTGGCACTGGTGGGGACAGTAGGGGCGGTGGCGGAACCAGCGGGGACAGTCGTGGTGAGGACTGGTGCTGGGAACAACAATGGGGGATGTGGTGAGGACGGTGGTAGGGACCGGGAGGGAGTCGTTTGCTGGCGGTGAGAGAGGAGGGTGGGGAGGGGTTCGAACCGGTAGTGACCCCCCCCTCCGGTTTTCGAGGGGGGGGGTTCGAACCCGACTCCCCCCCGGTTTTCGACCGGGGGGGGGAGGGGGGGGGGGGGGGGGGGATTTTGGAGGGTGGGGGGGGGGGGGGGGGGGCAGGGGGGGGGGGGGGGGGGGGGGGGGGGGGGGGGGGGGGGGGGGGGGTGCAGGACCCCCGGGCTCCGGAGGAAATGGGCGGCAATTTTCCACAGTAAAGCGGCGGTGGATCACGCTCTCTCTCTCTCTGTGATCTCGGTCTATAGGCCGTCCGGGTTCCAAGGGTTTGAAGAGAGAGTCCACAGAGGCGCTGCCTACGCTTGACGCTGCCGGCATTCGCTCGCATCGGTCCGTGGTAACGCGTGCTGCGTACTTGAGTTTAGACAGGTCAGATTTGGCCTAGGCCACTAAGACTTTGTGCAGGTCTATGAAGTCTCCCAATGCCGCCAGCCAAGCCGACATGAAACGTCTTGGTCAGTATCTCGTGTCTCACCGTTGTCTAGCCAGCCGTCTCGAGTCGCAGAGTTTGCCCACCGAAGTGGCAGTGATAGTAGACAGCGACCATGCCGGGTGCCCAGTCACCTGCAAGTCGACATCCGTGTGCATAAGGCGGCCAGCTCTCTCCAGAGCAGCATCCGTCTCAGCAGTGGGGAGAGCGAGTTTTATGCGATTGTAGAGAATGCTGCTATTGGCCTTCCGGTGCAATCCATTGCGCAGGATCTGGGAGTTCCCTTGGGCGTCTGCGTTCGGAATAAAAACGATTTTCCGATTCAGCTGGCCTCGGATCCTAATGCTGTTCGGGCCTTCGCGCAGCGCAAGGGACCTGGCGAGCAGAAGCACGTGCAAAGTAGGTTTCTCTTGGTGCAGGATGCAGTTTCGATGCGTCGGATCCGAAGAATGAAGGTAGCTACTCGTAAGAATGAGAGTGATATGCTCAGTAGACGCGTGCCGGCACATGTATCGCGCAAGCATCTGACGAGCATGGGTTTTGAATTTAGAGACGCCTGGAGCAAGCTACGTAGAACAATGGCCTGCACATTTGGCTTCAGACTGCGCTTTTAGGAGGAGTGCAGATGTGGAGCTTAAGCGTCTTATCAGCACGTTGTGATTATGTTGTTTGCATCGCCGTGTCTTGCTGTTGGACGCAACTGTTTGGCTCCAGGTACCTTTCGGCTGAGGAAAGAAAACAGGTCATCTCCTCACGGGTTTTATTTCTGCACTGTGCGGTCTCGGATGCCCGGAATACCGAAGAACATTTCATTCCCCAACTGATGCAAACGCTACTGAATATCAATGTTTTCTGCGTTTCGAAAGCCTCTTAAGGGGGTCGTCTTCGGGTCGTATGGTGGGTGTCCGTTGGGTTGGGGCGTCTTGGGGCTCTCGGGGGGGCGGTCGGCCGCCCTCCTGACCGATGCGGGCCCGCTGGCCAGGCCCAGCAGAGGCTGCCAGGAGCTCCGGAAGCCTTGGGGGGCCTGCTGCAAGGGCGTCCAGGTGGCCCCCGGGGCCACGGCTCCGGGGGTCCGATTTTTTGGAGGGGAGGGGGGGGATGCCCGCCCCGCTTTTTGTCTCATTCGACTTTTGCCCGACTTCGCCGCGCCGTTACGCGCGTGGCCGCGAGCGAGAGAGAGAGAGAGAGATTGGTTCATTTGTGTGTGTGTGTGTGTATTGAAGATGGTTCGTCTATTGCTTATCAGTGGCTTTCGGGGGGTAGGATGGGGCAGGAGAGCGACGAGGGAGAGGACGCGGATAGAAGGAGAGGGGAAAGAAGGGGGAAAGGGGTGCCGGGAGGAGGAATGGGGAGGAGGGAAAAGGCGGGGAAGGCATGGAGGAGGAGGAGACATGTTCTCCCTCCCGGAAGGGGGGGGGGGGGGGAGAGCAGCGCTGCAGGACCATGTTGGCGAGAGGTCCCTCGGGGCTGCAGGGCCCAGGCCTGCGCCGCCACGTGCGCCATGCGCTGCCGCCGCCGCCGACGCCTCGCCACTTCTCTTTGGCCCGAGCTGCGCGGCCGGCCCGAGCTGCGCTCTCCCACCGCTCGAGGCGCTCGCCCCCCTTCGCAGATACCTGCATCTCGCGGCGGCCACTGGGGGGGTCGCGCCGGCGCTGCGGCAGGCTCCCGCCTTCGTCGGCCCCCGCGGCGACACGGGCGCTCACCACCCACCAAATCGCCCCAACCCAGCCCGAAGGCCTCAATTTGTTCTCCATTTCCAGTGGGGGAGCATTGAAAAACACATATGGAACCCGTACTTCCCCCAACCCGAAGTTCGGGTCTTCGGGTTCGGTTGGGGTTGTCTGGTAGGTCGTCAGTCGCGGGTGCGCAAGGCTGGACGCCGCTCTGCGGTGCCGTTTCGGGATATGCCCCCCCAGAGAGAGCGACCCCGCGCCGCGTAGAGACGTACAGGACGGGGCGTGGGGCCGAGAACCCTCCATTGGGACGTCCTTCAAGGAACCAATTTCTTCATTGTTTGGGCCATAGCGCGCGTTCTGGCTTTCCCCCCCCCCATAACGCAACGCTCTTGCCCCAGTGCGCCTCCAGCACTTCCGCCGCGCGCACGGCGGGGGGGGGCGGCGTTACGTTTACCCCCCCCCCCCGCCCCCCGCCCCCCCTATCATAACGCCCGTGATCGCCGCGACCAAAGAAACGCGCTCAAGGCAGGCGGCGTCAGAAGAACCCAGGCCGGCGTCGTTCGGGCAGGAGTTTGCTGTGGGCACACCGACTCCCAGCGAGAACGACAGCGCCGCGGAGGAACGTACGGGACGGGACGGTGGGCCGAGAGCCCTCCCTCCTCCTTCTCCCCCTCCTCCTCCTCCTCCTCCTCCTCCTCCTCCTCCTCCTCCTCCTCTTCCTCCTCTTTTTCCTCCTTTTCTCCCTCCTGTTCAGCATCACGAGGGACACGTGGCAGCAGGTGATGGCGGAGGGCCGCAGGCCCCCCGAGCTCTCGGACGAGTTGAAGGCCTGGGACGCAGACCTCGTCATCCGTGACCATCGGCATGAACTGCCAGACAAGGCAGCCACCAGGATTTACGCGGAGTGGGTCACTCCGTGTTCTCCTCCTTCGCCCCCTCCTCCTCGCCGATAGGGGTGACGTTAACCCGGCCGGCTACTTTAAGTCGCGGTCGCAGTCCAAACCCTTGATGCAAAGGGTGCCGTGATAGCCCCCATGAGGGGCAGCGAATCTGATGTTGGACGGTCATCGTGTGTTTTGGTTCTGCTGTCGAGTTCACTTGCAGGAAAAAAATTCGCGGAGTGGGTCACGAGTATGGAGGAGGCGGCCATCATCACGGACGGCGTCAAAGCGGAGGAAACAGTACACTGCAGAGGCAGGGCATTTGGCTTCGAGATCAGGTGGGTCAAGGCCCGTTCCACTCCAGGGCGCACCCTTGCGAAGCTCAACGCAGCGGAGCACTGGGGCATCATGAGTACGGTGCTGATCAGGTACCTGGCCCTCCGCTCCAACGACACGGACCCACCCTAGCAAACCAAATGTTTAGCGGACGCGCGCGGACAGATGAAGGCGCTCCAGCACAGGACCAGGTCTTCGGCAGGAAGCACGGTCGAAGAGCACGCAGCAACTATTACGAGATGCTGGGTGACCTCAGGAACCTGGACGTCCCCAAGTCCAGAGTTTGGTCAACCCGTCAGGGTCACCTGGCGACGGCCATGGCGAGGAGCCTCACTGACCAGAGGAGGAGCTTCACCAAATGGGCCAAAGCAACATGGGAAGGCAAAGCCGGTTTTTTACACCGTCGCGCTAAAGAGCAGCAGTGACCCAGGTTCGAAATGGTCGGTGGCACCTCCAAGGGTATGGCCCACCCGCATGCCATGGTTTCAATCAAGAAGTCGGACTGGGAGAGAGATCTGGACGGACCCAGTGGACACCAAGCAGGACATCGCGAATCAGCTCAAATTGACGAGGACCAAGGCATAGGAGAAGGACGTCGATCGGCTCGCGCTCGAAGACTTGGATGGCGCCATCAGATCATCGGCCCCCTCCAAGGCGAAAGGTGTGGATCATTTGGGGCCGCAAGACATCGAGAAGATGCCGAAGGGGGCTCGAGTATGGCTTCTCCAACTACTGCAGCATTGTGAACAGGAGGTGGCGTGGCCGAGGCAACTGGCAGCCACGAAGTGTGCATTGGCCGCCAAACCCAAAGGAGGAGATCGTGTCTTGGGTCTGTAGACGCTACCGATCAAGTTGTGGTCGGGAGCGAGAGAAGGTTGCTGTGATCGCTGGAGCGCTGGTCTGCAGGCGCACTGGGATACAGCGCTCAAAGGGCTGCCCTCAGGGCGGCCCTATTGAGGGCTTGCCTTGACGAGGTGTGGGCGGAGCTGGGGGCGTCAGCTATGGCGTTAGTATTGTATGCCGAGAAATTCTATGACACGGTCTCGCCCGTCATCCTGATGCGCATCGCTACCAGGGCGGGCCCCATATGTCGTGGTGGCGCTAGAGGTGGCGGCCTGCGCCAGCCCGAGGTTTCTCCAGGAGCGCAGCATGCTCAGCAAGGCCATCTGGCCTACCAGATCGCTGGTGGCAAGCTCAGCACGTGGGGCGTGTTTGGCAAAGTTGCCCCATCCATCCTGATCTGGGCCGAGCGCGTCGCCGAGCTCCCACCTCGTTACTTTGGACGTTCGTCGATGGCGCTGCTTCGAGGGTGGAAGGCTCCAGGTCTCGAGTGGGCGAGGCGATCAAGGAAGTCACCGCGCTCATCGCGGATGGTCTCGGTCAGCAGAGGATGGTGGTCCCCAGCATGTCAGCGCTGCTAGGCTCGCACGCCAATAGCGTCAAGAGGGCCGCGGATGAACTGTGGCGGGAAGGACCCCCGCTCAAGCGGCTACTGAGGCGGTGGGCGTCCCAGACATTCACCGCGGAGTCCTGAGCCCATGGCCTCACGCAAGAAGGAGGTTGGTCAAGCTGGGGCTCCAGCCATGGAGAGGGGCACGCGGGCCAGTCGGAGTAGTTCAGGCCGCATTCATGGACGTGGGCTGGCACGCGCTGTCGGCGACGAGTTGGTCCCGAGCTATCGGAGAAGACGAAGACATGGCGGAGCTGCGGGGCACCCCCTCTTTCCTCGACGGTGTCTTCTTCAACGCCAGCGGTTGCTTCCAGCCACTAGATGATGTCGCGAAGGGCATTTCCAATCAGCTGCGGGCCACGGCGGCGCGGCACCCTGACGGAGCAGGACTTCAAGGAGGAGCAGATGTCTTGCAGGTGCAATCTGGACACGCGCGCTTCGCGAAGGAAGGGCCGTTGGGCGCGAATGGTTTAAACGTGACAGCGATTGCAGCTGGGCAATGGAACAAAACCCGAGGCTCGGACAGCGGCTACCTGATCCCTGCCAGATTTGCGACATATGCAGCGAGGCGGGGGAGGCCCTCATGCGCGGGATCTGGTTGCGCCCGAAGAACACGGGCCATGGGGGCTTCCAGCTGACGGAGTCCATCGTCCCCGCCGCGATTGCGCTGGCGGGCTCTGAGCCAGCTCTCTGGCCTCGAGGGCTGCCGCCAATTCATCTCGCCCACCCATCGCCTTGATGGGGGTCTTTTAGATGGGAAGGGGGGCGAGGATTGGGGCGATGAAGGACTGGGGGGGATGCATAGTTCATCGGCAACTCCATGCTTTTGGGAGATGGTCCTGGAGGCCGTTTTTCGTCTGACCCTCGGCGATGACGGCGCGGGGCCAGTATGGCAGCCATCGAATTTGTAGATGGGGGGGTGGGGAGTAGGTGCAGCCCTGGCCGCCTTTCTCCTCGGCCCCAAGCAGACTGCCCCAGGGCTGAGATCCTCTCTTTCGTGCTCGCGCTAGAACGGCTGCGAGCTGGTTTCGTCTGCGTCACGCTTTGGGCCCGCGCCGGAGAAGCCTGGAGCCACCGCCAGTGCAAGGACGTAGAGGTCATCTGGGTCCCTCTCATTTGGACGAGCGGCCAGAAGACCTAAGCTCGCCCTTGCAGCTGTTTGTCGCAGCAGCTAATCGCGCGGCTGGCGCGCGGGCGGGGGCGGGGGTGGAGCTGGCGTGGGAAGAGGGGTTGGTCGGCACAGCGCCTGATACGGATCGGGCCTGACTGCGCTCATGGTGCGCAAGAGAGCACGCAGGACGCCGATGTTGGCCGCCTCGTCGGAGACGGGGGAGCAGGCCAACCGCCCAACCCCTTGTCAAGAAGTTGGCCAAGCTTGATCGCGCTCTCAGTGGCTGCTCGCACCATCTGCTCAGAGCTGGTAGCAAGTGGTGTTGCTCCAAGTGCGAGGCAACGGTCCCGACTTTTTTCTCGTTTTGCGGCCACCCTTTGCGAGGGACCCTTTGGGGCCAGGGAGTATGTTTCGGCGTCGGGGGCCTAGTTCGAAATCCATCCGACGCTTTCTGTCGCGTCCGTCGCGCAGTGGTCGTTGCACATGTGCACGGCCCGCGGCATGCATGCGACCGTAGATGCACGGTACATTGGAAGGAGCTGCCAGGGACTCACTCCGAACGGAGTCGAGAACTTGCGTCGCAACGGGCAAAATTTGTCCCCTCGGCGGGAGGGGCTTCCCAAGGCCGTGGGCTTGGCCATTGTTGCTCGGGGTGGTCGTCGTCTGGGGTCGTCGGTCGGGGACGGTGGAAAGAGCAGCGGCCAGACGGGAAGCCCCCGTCCGAGCCCCCTGAGGTCACCCGCGCACGCGCGGAATGGCGCGAGAGAGAGAGAGGCTCTGCGTCAGGAGGCCGAGGAACAGTGGGCGCAGGCAATCGCACTGCGCTTGCTACGAGCGGGGAGGGGGCCAGATTTTGACGCGCGGGTGACCCAGGGGGGAGGCGTCAGAGAAGCGTCGGGTTGAAGCGTATTCCACCAGCAGCCAACCCGACGCCACAAACAGAGGGGACAGAAGTCCGCAGGCAAATCGTCCAAATAGTTATTTTTTTCCTCCTCTTCCTCCTTTTCCTTCCCCTCCTTCTCCTCCTCCTCCTCCCCCTCCTCCTCCTCCTCCTCCTCCTCCTCCTCCTCCTCCTCCTCCCCCTCATCCTATTATTTGGATTTTTGCAGCGGAGGTCCTTCAGGGTCGAACGCTTCAGGCGGCGTCAGAATCCCGGCCGGCGTCGTTCGCGCAGGAGCCTGCAGCAGAGGCACCCACTCCGCTCCTCTGTCTGGCCCGAACCTGGGCCCGCGACGGTCTCGTCACGCCGCCCAGGCCTGCGCAGGGGCGGGGCGTGGCCAGCAGCGCGAGGCACCTTGTCGCTGCCTCGGCGGTTGCAGAAAGCCCCCCAGACATGATCTCGTCGCAGCAGAGATCAGGGCGAGAGGTTTGTGGCCATCTTCGGCCTCGGGGCGCCCTCGCTGGGCCTCGGGACCGTCAAACAATGACTCGGGATGAAAAGCCGGTCGCAGGGAACGGGTCGGGACATCCATGGGCCCCGTATATCACCACCCACCAAACCACCCCAACCCAACCCGAAGGCCCAAACTTATCCTCGATTTCCAGTCGGGGGGGGGTCGGGGAACGTTGAAAAAACACATGGTATCCGTACCCCCCCAACCCGAAATTCGGGTCAAATTCGGGTCTTCGGGTTGGGTTGGGGTGGTCTGGTAGGTAGTCAGTATAGAACAAATCACCACGTCCCATGTCTGAATCGGGATCTCTGCACGCCGGGGCATGTGTGCGCCAGGAGGGCCGGCAAATGATACAGTGGAAGCCCATGCCAAGCAGCACCCTGCTTGCCTCCAGGGCGCCCTTGGTTTCTCGGGTTTCGATGGCCTTGCTATGGCAAGAGCGTGACGTCCCCACGTCCCGACGTGGTATATCGGCGACTACAAAGGGTATGGCTACGCCAGGGTATGGTCTGCGATCGGCACCCTGGAAGCCCGGGGAGCACAGCACTGTCAAGCTGTCCCTGTCGGGCCTCCGCGAGGCGCGGCGGAGAGGCTGGTCGAGGTCCTCGCCCGCCCCCGAGGGTGCCGGAGGCGTATCGCACCCTTTGCAGACCACACTCCTCGGAGTCGCCAAGGCACATGAAGGAGTGGACACCCATGCCAAGAAGCACTTGTTTGCCTCCAGGGTGCCCCTGGGTTTCTCGGGTTTCGACGGCTCTGCTGTGGCAAGCAAGCGTGACGCAGCCACACGAAACATGAGGGACGCCCTGGGGTCTCAGGGCTGGGCTTCTCTTGTGGAAGGTGTCTTGCGGTCGAGCCCCTACTGCGCAGGCCCCGACGCCGTGCCTGTGTTCCCAGCGTGGGAGGCCCCTGGATCTCCCCGCCCTCTTCAACCCGCCACCGGCTTTCCACCCAGAGCCCAGTTGTGCTGGCGCCCCAGCGTCCATCGGGTTTCGCGCGCCAGTGGGGTTTGGCGGCCCATTGGGGTCGGGGGTGAACAGAAACCCCACCTGACACGTCGATTAGTGAATTGTCCGTTTTCGGTTCTCGAGAGGGCGCCGCGGCCGTCATTTTCTTGGCTTGCGACCGCCAGGTTTGGGTCCGAGGTCGTTTTCACTAAACCACGCTTTACTAAAGGGGGTCCCGTCCATCCACGATGGGGGGGGGGGTCGGAGTCTGGATGCCTGCTGCTGGTCCGCCACGCCGCTGCAGCGGAGCTGCGCTCGCCGCCCCAGGAGTGCCGATTCTCCCTCCGCCCCCCACGCCTACTTTGGGCGTTTTCGCCCGAGCGTTCCGTCGGGCGTGTCCCTCTACAAGAGGAGTATCCAAAAATGGTTTAACACATCGTCTGGGGAAGATTTGTTGAGGGTTTTCTGTTTTTGCTATTTTCGAGTAGTTTTACTCTTTGTTTATCCTTCTTCCAAACTCCGCCTGTAGGAAGACATGCCCGACCTGACCCGAGTGTGCCTGGGCGAAGGCGCAGATGCGGCGTCTGGAGCAGGGGCAGTCGCGGCGCTTGTTGCACCCAGCGGGGCGTTCTCTTTGATCAGCGGGTGGCCCGCGATCAACGACGCCGCCTAGCTGGGTGCAGCAAGCTCTCACGGCAAACCAGCTACAGCAGCCGATTCTGGACCTGTTTCTAATGATTTACTATGTGAAGATTTTCAGCGTTGCTACGTCGAGGGGTTCGTCGAGAAGTGGTCAAGACATGCAGCTGGCTCAGGCTCCAAACTAGCTGCACGGAGCTAGTTCGCGCGCGAAACCAGCTACATGCAGGTAGTTATGCGCCGAACTAGCTCCATGCAGCTAGCTCGGCGCAGCACTGGCTACATGCAGCTAGCTTCCCCGCCGGATCGGCTCCATCTCGCTGGCCGGGCGCGGAGGAGAAACCTTGGATCCAGCCCGCCTGGGGCTATCATTAGCTAACAAGCTTCTACGCGCTGTCCTCAAGTTCGGAGGGCACCAACTATACACCAACACCGATCCTGGCCCAGGATCACCCTGGGCCCAGGACCGGTGTATATGCCTTCTTGCGCAAGGCAGGAGGGCGTATACACCGATCCTGGGCCCAGGGTGATCCTGGGCCAGGATCGGTGCTGGTGTATAGTTGGTGCCTTCCTACAAGTTAGCCAATCCTCAACCCTGGCCTTTCCTATCCCGCCCTCTTGCGCGGCCCGACGCTCCAGCCGACGTCGTCGGCCGCCGTCGCCTTCGGGCGGCCAGATGAGGAGGAGGAGGAGGAGGAGGAGGAGGAGGAGGAGGAGGAGGAGGAGGAGGAGGCGGGATGAGGAGGAGGAGGAGGAGGAGGAGGAGGAGGAGGAGGAGGAGGAGGAGGAGGAGTCGGGTCGGCCCGGCGAGGGCCGAGAACCTGGCGTGCAGCGCGCCTCCCCTCCGGTGGTCGTGGCCGCGGTCCGCCGCCCCGCAGCGGTGCCCCCGGGGATGGCGGAGGGCTGGCAGGCGCCGCTGGCCGAGGCCGAGGCCCTGCTGGGCGCGAGCAAGCACTTCGACGGGGTGCAGAAGATCAACAGCTGCATGGAGCTGTTCGAGGCCGAGGCCTGCGGAGGAGGGGGGGGGGGCAGGGAGGGAGGGAGGAGGGGGGGGGCCGAGGGATGGAGGGAGGAAGGGGGTGGGAGCAAGCTTTTCGACGGGGTGCAGAAGATCAACAGCTGCATGGAGCTGTTCGAGGCCGAGGCTGCGGAGGAGGGGGGGGGGGGGGGAGGGAGGGGGGAGGAGGAGGGAGGCCGAGGGACGGAGGGAGGAACGGGGGGGGGTGGGAGACGGAGCATGCCCTCCTGCTC